CCTGTCTTTTTTAAAATCATCCATCATACTGTTTAATCCCTACAAACCAAACTTGGAAGGAAAAAAAACTTTTTTGGATGTGTTTTTGGTATTAAAATAATTGTTTTTTTTTTTTTTTTTTTTTTTATACAAGCAGTAGAGCGACTTTGAACGAATAGGATTTTTTTGGGGAGGGGGGTTCTATACGTGCATGTTTTATGTGAGTTCCAAATGTTGTATAACTGTGTGCTAACCAATGTTTGCGTTTGTATGTTTATATCTGTTTGTGTGTGGTTCTACAGTTGCACTGTGGGTGTGTGTGTACGTATGTTCGCATAACTGTGTGGCATTCAGTTTGAAAAGTATTCAGTTATTTAGTGAATTATTTAATTCAATTATTTAATTTAATTCAATTATTTAATTAATCAAGTATGGCTGGCTAATGAAACACGGCAAAGTGTATTTTTCGTGAGAGATCGATAAAAATGTCTGAAAATATTTTTATAAAAAGTAATCTTTTAACTAACCAATTATAATTCCAACTACACACACACACTCACATACACACAATGTATTGTATCTATCTGTACAAACAATGAGTTAGAATGTGAATCACGTCAAAGAAATTCACCAATTAACAAATCAATTCAATAGTTTATTCATTTTAGAACTATTTTATAACCAATTTTACAAAATATTAACGAAATTTATTTATTAGATTATAATTTAATTAAAAATGAAATATTCGATATATATTTTAAGTTTCTCTAAAAAAATGCAACACAAAAACAAAACTGGATGATTTTGTTTACAACAAATGTATGCGAAGCGTAATGTTGCTGTACCATCGGCGCATGTATTTATGCATGAACGTGCGTTCCAGCCTATATATGTTGCGTGTGTAATATTCCTCTGTATGTGTGTATGTATGTGTGTGTTTTTATGTATATGTGTGTGTATGTGTGTGTGGTGTGTGTGTGTTTATATGTGTCTGCGTTTATATGTGTGTGTGTGTGTGTGGTGTGTGTGTGTTTGTATGTGTTTGTTTATGTATGTTAGTGTGTGGGTGTTTATGTTATGTTAGTGTGTGTGTGTGTGTTTATGTAAATATGTGTGTGTGTGTGTTGGTGTGTATGTATGTGTGTATGTTTATATATATGTGTGTGTGAGTGGTGTGTCTCTCTGTGTGTGTGTGTGTGTAAAATGTAAATATTCGCGTATGACATAATTGTTTTTTTTCTCTCCACAATATAGGCAATGATGGAGCGATAGGTTTCCATTGAAGATAAGTGTCGCAGGCAGAATTGTGTTTGCTAGTCATGGCCATGATGCTATCATTTTATGTGGCCATCATGATGGAATTGTATCTAGCAACAATTTTTTTAGATTTTGTATAGTCAATGTATATATGTAATGTATTTATTATATATATTGTTATATTGTTGTCTTTTTTAATTTCCATTTTATTCAATATAGTTCAACAAAGTCAAAAAAAAATTACTTATTAGAGATATAATTCTTGACTGAGATAAAACACACTCTTTCTCTCCTCTCCTCTCTCTACCTAACTCGTGTGTCTGCCTGCCTATTATACATCAGGAGACCTTGCTCTCTAGAGCCTAACAAGTAGTTGTCTCACTCCTACTAACCAGTCAGTCCCTATTGTATGTCACCTCATTCTTATTATACAAAGTATCATATGCTCTGATTAATTATATGTTATATTATCTTATATTATATTAAGTTGCTTTATGTCTGTAAATTTGCTGTCTCCTCGTGAACTACTCTAACAACTTAACTATCATTACAATTTGCTTACCCACTTTAACATATACAACCTATATTTACTTATGTTTCATAATTTCAATTATCCTTTACATAATATATATATATATATATATATATATATATATATATATATATATATCATATTATGTTGTACATTCATATACATTGTATAAAAATTCATACAAACGTCTATATAGAAAACATCCAATTGTATAAACATAGAAGTGTACAACGTTGTATATATTTTTCATGCATACACAAAT